GGATCTTCCAGATCTGTAGCCAAATAAGTGGTAGAGAGAATTACACTTATCTACCCCCAGTTCCTCACAACTCCATAAATTATACAATCTTAGCCTTGACCCTGAAAATTGTTAATATGAATTTTCGATAAAGTGAACTAACTACTATTCCCCTAGCAATTCATATTAATGCAAGTTGACTGTATAAAGTTACATCATCTGAATGAGTTTATCTTATTAATAAATTTCTCTCTAAAACATTTGGTTATATTGTTAAAAACGAGTTTGATTGTAACTAATTTATTTTAATAAGTATTCTTCCAATAATATATTTAAATACAGGTAAATCTTTGTATTTGCAAGATTTAGGATCCTTGGAAATCTCACAAAACCCAATTAATAAGGCTAATGAGAAAACAGAGTTAGGTTTCTACAGATTGAGCTGATATGGCTGAGATGAAGCCTGTTGCTATCCAAGAAATATTTAAAATTTTTCAAATGATTTAATAAGCAAATAATAATAACTAACATATACTTTGTTCATATGTTTAATTATATTAAAAATATTAGTCTTGCATTCTAAGAGAGTTATAGAGAAATTAATGTTGCTTAAAGGACATTTTTATTCATGTCTTTTAAGACTTCAACTTATCAAGAAGTTCTATGTTCTTCTAATGACTTAAAACTGTTTGTTATGTTTTACCATATTTTCAAGAGCAACACCAATTATTTTATAAGTTATAACAAAATACAGAAAAAACTGTGAACAAATTTTCACTTGCTGTTTATGAGATTGTAGAACTGGTGTACACACAAAAATGAAGTAGAGGCAGATGCATAGTCTTCTATAAGACTTGTTTTGATCTCATAATTCAAACTAAAAAAAATTTATAAAAATACTTCATTATAGGGTAGCTCTATTCTTATGAGTTTTAACTCTATAATCCTATATTATCAGATGTAGTATTTCAAACAGCCAAACAAATATCCATTGGTTTAACATACAATTTAGTAATCAATTTAAAAGAGAATGTAGAAGAGAAAATTGATTAATAAATTGTACATTGTTAAACCAATGGATATTTGTTTGGTTGTTTGAAATACTACACCTAAGAAATAAAGGATTATAGAGTTAAAACTTATAAAAATTCTCCTATTGTAATACAGTATGTTATATTATTATAAGGGATCATCATCATTATTATTGTATGTGAGTATTAATTACTGTATATACTGTATTTATATAACTATGGCCTAAACTTTGTCATGTACAATTTAGCAGAGAGCATTGTTATTGTAATGCAGTGACATCAATTTGGTAATATAGTAATAACTGTATTTTGCTTATGTCAAAAAAAATGTAGAAACTGGAGATAACAAAGAGTGCATTTTTTACAAGTACTGTACTATAATTGAAATATTGTAAAAGCAATTTGTGAATAGACAAATGTTTCACAAGTAGTCATGTACTTGGTCACAATTTTTCAAGTGTAAAAACTAAACATATGAATACCAAAGTTACATACAGTAAAAACTGCTTAGGCGACCACTTGCATTCAACGGGCACCTGTCAAAATGGGTAAAAATTTCTGGCACGAAATAGTTTATATATAGAGTGTTTGTATAAGTTACCTGTATTAAATGACCACCTGTGTAACACAACCGCAGGCATCAATTTTTGGTCAGAAACAACATACAACAACTGTAATAAGCGACCACTTTTGCAAATATATCTGGTCTAAACTATTGTTTGAACCCATCTCAACATTTTCCCTTCCTAATATAATGAATTAGTCTAAACTTTTGTTCAAACCCACCTCAGGCACTTCTCCCACCCTTGAAATTAGGTGCAGGTGTTAATGAATTAGTCTAGTAACAAAGGAAATTCATTTCAGTTTGTTCGAAATTGTCCAAAAAACAAAAGAAATGCAAAGTGCTGGATCATGTTAAAGTTATCAGAGAAAGTGAAAATGTTTATCACAAGGCAATTAGTGGTGAAGTTTAACTGTGGGAAAACGCAATTTATTTTACCATAGACCTACAGTATTTTCCTTAGGGATATAAAATATCTGATTGTTTGATAAAATTTATTTTATTTTTATTTTTTGAAGCTCATATACATGTACTGTACCTGTGCAATAAATAGTTTCTGTATCAATCCACCTTATTTCTGTGATATTTTTAGAAAAATAATATCCAAGTAATTTTTGCATGCAAAATATTCAAAAAACAATAAATGCATTAACGCAAAAATTAGTTTTACAGGCAACTTTCCTTTTTTGATTTCACAATTGTCATTGATGTAATGAAATCATATTATGAGAAAAAATAATAAAACTGTTTTATTATTAATTAATAATTTTTTATTGTATTTAAGAAAAAATTATATATTTAAAAAATACAGTATTTTTAAAGCTAAAATAAGATTAAACTAACAAAAACCAAAACTGAAGTGGTGGAGAGATACCATGCTTCTATATCAATGACATAATACACATAACTGAGGACCGAATGAAGATAACAAAGTTGAATTAAGTCAAAATAAAAAAGTGTGCATTATAATTGAGAAAATGCAAATACTGTATTAATCTTTAAAATACTGGTATTAAATCTATCTTATAAAATAATGACAACTTCTGTTAATCGAATTATCCAATAAGAAAAAAATACAGTACCAATATAGCTCTATTGTTGAAAAAATTTGCTTATTTTTGCTCACCTCAACTTTTGCTTAGTAGATATGGCTTTTAGCCANCACCAGATATTTTACAGTAATTATATGAGTAATTCTTTTCAGATATTAATTACAGAAATTAAATATATTTCTTATAAAATTCTTAAGTTTAACTGCTTTATTGAAGTAAACACAAAAATGAATATAAGTTGACAAATTAAAAGCCTATGAATATAAATTCTCAAAAGTAAATTAAATAGTATTGATCACAAAAATACTTACTTTATTGGCAAATTTAGAGTTTCTAACATATTACAGGCATTTACTAAATCTTCAGGTGATATGAGCTATAGAATATATAAATTTTTGAATTAATTTGAAATATGTAGCATGCCAATTATGAACAATATTTTTAAAAGCAATTTTAATTGATGTAATTACAGACATTTTTTAATATTAGGTTTAAAAACAAAATTATATTAAGTACAATTTCAGTTTTGTGTTTCAATCAATTAATTAAAAATTCCATTTCATTTCTGATTATGATTATTTAATGATTTCACTTCTATATACATATATATCTCATATGATTTTTTATAACAGTAATGATAACTTGGCATAATTACATAATATTTAAGTCTGAACTTGATAGAAGTTAAAAATTGTATTAAAATATATTTTAAAACATGAATATAATTGAAGAATATACTAATTCAGTGGTTCTTAACCTTTTAATGATGAGGGACCATTTATCAAAATTTTTGTCTTGCCATGGACCACGAGCTGTTTGGAAGTAATATAGGTTCTTATAAGGTTGTTCTATAAATTAAACATGTAGAAAATTATTCGGAACCAANTTGGATGACCACCTGTCTAAAAGACCATTTTTTGAAGGAACCATGGGTGGTTACCGCAGACAGGTTTTACTGTATATAAATTATGCAAACATTAATCTTCATTCTTAGAAAATTCTATTGAAAGCTTGTTACATTTGAGTAAAGTTTATCCTATCATAAATAACTTCCTTCTGAAGCTATATTAATTCATTTATTTTTGATGAGAAGTTATTTTCCAGTATCCTGATAAAAAAAAACCTGACTATTCAAACAGTATGTTCTCTGGCATCATTGTCATTTCATCTCATGCAGCTCAAGTCCTTTTTTTTGTGATTTTTAAATCTACAGTTGATTACTGTTTGCTAATATGTAAAAGGATTTGTGCTCTATGGTAGCACAAATCCTTTTACATAGTCTTTGTAGAACTTAATATATTTTTTAACAAATTGTGTCACTTACACCATACACTTTCAGTGATATAATTGCCAGATGTAGACTTTCTCTCCCTGATTTTTCTTTGCATTTCTTACTTTTATCATTTTTTTTTACTTTTTTTTTTTATTTTTTTTTTTCCTTTCTGTAATTTTCCTCTATATGTTTACAGAAGAACCACTCAAGATAGCTCCTATATCTACATCTCTATTTATTAACTTAGTAATCCTAGACATTCATTCTTTTACAATGTAATGAGTGCCTTGTCTCCCAGAGAGAAGTATCTGCACCTTGATTTTAATAAATATAGAAGTATATATAAAATAGAATAAAAGTATATAAAAGCAAATAACATATAAGGTTATGTAAAAAATCTTATATGTTAACACTAAAGTGTACAAACTAATGTACTTTTTTTTAAACTGGTTTTGTACATCTTAGTCCTAATCTTTCTTACTTATTTATCATATCAGTTTTTACATTTTTGTATTTTATGATACTTTGTTTATTAAGTAATAGTTTTATCAATAATTTTTATTTTTGTTTATTGTTGTTCTAAAGTTTATCCCTCTGTTGTATTTTAATGGGACATTTATTGTACAGAGAAAGTCATATCTTGCTATACATTATTCTAGCTTATAAAANCACTGTATTTAAACAACGTTTATGGATGGCTACAGGTGTTAAATTTCAAATAACAGGTAAGTCTAGTAGAATCGATATATAGGCCTAGTATTTAAATCACACGTTCTTTATTTGAATTCGGAATACAAGTCTATTAATTTAAATTTTTTATATTATAGCAGAGGAAGTGGAGAAAAAATGGAAGGTACTATACAAAGGGATAGATAGCCTCTGTGAGAAGAAAAAATTAATAAAATTAACACTGTTAGTGGCAGTGGCGTTTCCTATTCGACCAGAATTTTTACGTATGTGTGTTCTGGCATAAAATCGTAAAACAGAAACTGAACTGAAAGCTGATTTCTGATTCAGTTTTCTGCCACACAATTTTACGCATGTGTGTTCCTGGCCTATAATCACAAATTACTCAAAATATAAAACAATTTAGATATTCATACCGATATTCCTACTAAAGGCACTTTTTCCCATTCTTTTTTTTCTAAAACTTCTGTTAAACTTTGAAAAAACTGTAAAATAAATAAATGTTGCTAATAGATTATTTAAAAATTATGGTTTCAAAGTAAAATTAATTTGAAAAAATTAAATACAGTAGAGCATTGATTACCCGAATCAATTGGTGACTGGGGTTATTCAGAAAATTGATTTTTCAGATAACCAATTATGTATGAAAAATATATTAACCTATCCAATGTTGAAATTCGTTCAAATCCTGGCATGTCCTTAAGTACTCTCTCATAGTTGCACCAGTGCTGCCAGCTAAAAGACACACACCAATAAAAATAATTGCAGTGCCAAAGATTGCAGCGCCACAGCACTAGCTGAAATTTAAATTTGCCAACTGGAAAGTTTTCGGATAATTGACATTTCAGTTGATCGACATTTGGATAATCAATGTTCTACTGTATTAATATTTTATACCTTCATAAATTATCAAAAAGGCTTACTGACTACTTACTTCTGATTCTCCTCCTTGTACAAATGAAAATTTTACAAAATTAAATGGACTATATTTAACAGGCCCTAAAGACTTTTGATTTTCAGGAAGTTGACTTAAATGAACCACAATTTTTCCACTATTTAAATAAATAATAGATTTAAAGTTAATAAAACTAATAAAAATAGCAGTAATAAATATAAAAGATAACTAGTTTGTTTTAAAACAAGCTAAGAAATCTGATATTAATAATTTCAAATATTCAAATAACTGAAATAATGAAAGAATTAAAAAATAAAATCAATACATAAATAACTGGGAAAGTTCAAAAATAACCAATAGAATGCAGACTCAATAATAAAAAAGGAATTAATTTTATGGACTTTTCAATATTAAAAAGTATTATTTGCATATTTATCAAAATAATTAGTCTTCTCAAAAAGTATATATTAGTGATTTAATTTATACAAAAATTTATAATCAATCTCTACATGTATATAAGAAATTACTCTCACCTTTAGAAACTAATTGAGGCATTTTCATATCTTTTCATGAACATTGGAATATTCAATCATCACATTTTTGTAAAAAGATTTGAAGATGCCTTAACTAGTTAATAACAGCAAAAATATTCTCTAATATTAAAAACTAAAATTTTAAATTTGAATATCATTGAAATGTGTGCTTTTAAAGAAATTTTTTCAATAAGCTGCTTAAAGCTTAAATCTATGAATTATCTAATATCTAAATTTATCTAAATAAACACACATTTAAAATATAAAACACACAAAAGTTTTTGTTCTCTTAATCCAGCAGTGTTTTTACTTATCTATCTTGTAACAATAAAAACAACACTCAGGGGACTTTGTTAGTTAAATCTTCATATTTCAGTTTAACACCTGAAATTTTTATATCACTGCTATTTAGAAAATAAACCTTAACTTACACGTTTTAGTTAATATTAAATTAACAATTTAATATTAACTAAAATGTTCTGTTAACAATACCTTCTTGTCCATCCTCTATTTTCTTTCTCGGCAAAAACCACAAGAGATAAATGAAGAGATAATTCCTTTTCCTGAAACGTTAATTTTTAATAATTAAAACTTTAATATTGATTTATTTTAATATTTAAAAATTTTAAATTAAGTAAATAAAAAGTCAATTATTTATTGTATTTGTTATTTTTTTAAATTTTCCAACATTTAAAATACATGTAGATTACTGTGCTTTCTTAATGTGCTTTCTCACCACACTGGGTTGTATATACTTCACAACTATCTACAATTAACCATTAACCGGTGCGAAATTCTTTAAAATCGGCAAACATTTTCGATTCCCCTCCTGAGATCTTCTTCAGGCTTACTTTTTTATCTCTTTCGTTATAACTGGATTCTTTAATTTGAATGTTTTTAAAAAATATGGAACGATAATATAAACGATATAAGATGTCACTTTTAATGAATACTATCTTTTGCTAATTCATAAATTAATATTTTATATTTAAATATTTACAATTTAAACTTTTCTTTATAATATTTGTAGTTTTAAATTAATTTTTCNTACGAGTCACTTAGATTTTACAAATACGTGTGCCGGGCTATGAACGGCTCACGTATTTGTAAAATCTAAGTGACTCGTACAACATGGAATTCATATAAAACAGAATAATCAACAGTGTTATAGGGAATCGCCTGTATCACTGTATGACTAAGAATACGTCAAGTCTTGTTCTTCACCGCCGATCACCAGACTACTCTCTGACCGAACTACGATAGGCTTGAAAAGGATCCATTTTGTACATTGCGGAAAGTGCCAAAACATCTTCATTTTGAAAGAATTAAAAAATAAAATAAAAAGAAGTAATACAAAAACCCCAAAAACATTTGTGACAAATTAAGGAATACTTTTCTTAAAAATTTCAAATATTCAAATAACTGAAATAATGAAAGAATTAAAAAATAAAATCAATACATAAATAACTGGGAAAGTTCAAAAATAACCAATAGAATGCAGACTCAATAATAAAAAAGGAATTAATTTTATGGACTTTTCAATATTAAAAAGTATTATTTGCATATTTATCAAAATAATTAGTCTTCTCAAAAAGTATATATTAGTGATTTAATTTATACAAAAATTTATAATCAATCTCTACATGTATATAAGAAATTACTCTCACCTTTAGAAACTAATTGAGGCATTTTCATATCTTTTCATGAACATTGGAATATTCAATCATCACATTTTTGTAAAAAGATTTGAAGATGCCTTAACTAGTTAATAACAGCAAAAATATTCTCTAATATTAAAAACTAAAATTTTAAATTTGAATATCATTGAAATGTGTGCTTTTAAAGAAATTTTTTCAATAAGCTGCTTAAAGCTTAAATCTATGAATTATCTAATATCTAAATTTATCTAAATAAACACACATTTAAAATATAAAACACACAAAAGTTTTTGTTCTCTTAATCCAGCAGTGTTTTTACTTATCTATCTTGTAACAATAAAAACAACACTCAGGGGACTTTGTTAGTTAAATCTTCATATTTCAGTTTAACACCTGAAATTTTTATATCACTGCTATTTAGAAAATAAACCTTAACTTACACGTTTTAGTTAATATTAAATTAACAATTTAATATTAACTAAAATGTTCTGTTAACAATACCTTCTTGTCCATCCTCTATTTTCTTTCTCGGCAAAAACCACAAGAGATAAATGAAGAGATAATTCCTTTTCCTGAAACGTTAATTTTTAATAATTAAAACTTTAATATTGATTTATTTTAATATTTAAAAATTTTAAATTAAGTAAATAAAAAGTCAATTATTTATTGTATTTGTTATTTTTTTAAATTTTCCAACATTTAAAATACATGTAGATTACTGTGCTTTCTTAATGTGCTTTCTCACCACACTGGGTTGTATATACTTCACAACTATCTACAATTAACCATTAACCGGTGCGAAATTCTTTAAAATCAGCAAACATTTTCGATTCCCCTCCTGAGATCTTCTTCAGGCTTACTTTTTTATCTCTTTCGTTATAACTGGATTCTTTAATTTGAATGTTTTTAAAAAATATGGAACGATAATATAAACGATATAAGATGTCACTTTTAATGAATACTATCTTTTGCTAATTCATAAATTAATATTTTATATTTAAATATTTACAATTTAAACTTTTCTTTATAATATTTGTAGTTTTAAATTAATTTTTCAGTTTTTAATGCTATAAAGTTTTAATTATTATTAAACAACAAAAAAATACCTGAATTAAAAATTTAAATTTCCTTAAATAGTAATAGTGGTTAATCAATAGAAGTCATATCAATACAGAAAACATCACACAAACACAAAGATTACTACAATAAATAAATAACATCAGAAATAAAAACCATTAAATGGTATTACAGGTATGTTTTTTTAAATATAGCAATTAAATTTCACTGTGAATATCTAAATAGATTGAAATTACTTATTAAGAGGCTCAGTTTTTATTTATTCATCTATCAAGATATACTGTAAATTATTATAATTCCATATAATCAGAGCAATTAATACTTTTTAGAAAGTTCTGAACAAAGTCACAATTAGTCACTGTATGGAGATTCTCTTAATGCACTATTTTCAAGAAGCAAATTTATCATGTTAACCAAGTACTACCTGCACAGCAAAAAGTAATTGCTATAATATTTGAAAACTTTATCTAAATTCTTACCCGCTGATGATTATCCTTCCAAAGAAATCGATGTGTAGTTAGTATTAATTCTCCATTATCAAAGTTAGTCTAATAGAATAAAAATAAAAAAAAGAATTATTTCAAATTAGTGGTATTTTATTTTAAAAAGTTTAAATTATTAATATAAAATATGAAAAAGTCTTAAAGTACAATATTTTTTAAATGTCCAAATCCTATTTGCCTGTTTAAAATTCCAAATCCATTTCTTCTTCCTTTTTGTAAATACTAAAATAATGAATAAAATCTTAGTACATTATTTAAGAAACTTATTTCTATTTTTTTAATATATTCCTCCATTAAGATGAATATGGTGCAGGATTTAACTTTTTGATTCACAATTTCCATCACAGCAATACAAAGTATTGAAACTTTATATTTTTCCATAATGAATACAACTGTAAATTCTTTTATGTAGGGTTTAAATAATATTTTTGCACTTACTGTTGAGCCTCAATGTACGGAACTAATATGTGAAAGAGATGGTCTGATAATGCTAATTGTCCATTGTATCTGAAGATGTCACAATTAACTACACAATGAACTTCATATAAGATATAATAAGAGAGACAAACAGCTCACATTGTTATAAATATGAGGAGAAAAACAGTATACTTTCAAGATGAGTAAAACTGTAGTTGTTGATGCACTGTCTAGTAAATATCCCATAAATAAACCAACAATTACACTCCAACAGATGCCTTAGAATAAGCAGATTTGGTCAGTTTCCAAATGCATATTAAGTCAACAATATATTATAATTTTTCTTTATTACTTATCAAATAATTTAAAATATGACGGACTATGCATATATTATTTCTTCTTTGAAAATTCTGCATTAATTTTTAACAACAGAGGAATGTTTTAAAACATTTTATGCTTCAGGGAGGTTCTGAAATAGTAATGCTTTAAAACATATAGTGCATCAAAAGGTTAAATATATATTACTATATTTTTTAAATTATTATAAAAACATTGTTAAATTTAAACTACACAGAATTAAAAATTAAGAAATAAATTAAATGAAAATCTTTGTAATTTTAGACAATAATTTGAAAATTTATTTACTGATGTTTTAATAAACAGTATAAATCTTGAAATATGCTATATTTTCTAGATATTATATCAGCTGATAAATAAAATAACATTCAAAATAAAAATTCTGTTAAATAAATTGTATTTCTTATTCTCCCAACAACAAAATTAAATCATAGAGAAAGTTTATATATAATAGTTTATATATAATAAAGTTCATTAAAATTTCAATATAGAGCTACCACTAGAAAAAGTTTCAAATAAACTACATAAAATCTATTAATGTTCTGATCATTAGTCTTGTGTCTCTAAATGTCCATAACACATTCTGTTGTCATGTAAAAAGATGAACAGGATTAAATAAATGGATGTACAAGAAGTCTAGTGTCTTAGAGGATCACATCATTGTGAGTTATAAAAAGATAATATTTATTTTAAATTGAAAAAATATAAAAGTTCTTTGCAAGATTTTATGGAAACTTTAAATTTTAGAACCTGAAAACATTGATTATATAGTAAACTTTACATATGACAGTGCAATTGCTTTGTACAATGGACATGAGATCAGACTCGTTGAATCCCTAACAAGATTTTCCCTATACCAACCACATTTTTCCATCATATTAGATCAAAATCCTCAAGATTTTCATTGTGATCAAAGCTTCCTGTTCTCGAAGATTTACATATTAAGACATAAAATACTGGCACACAAACTGGAACAATATACTAAACAAACAATTTGACACCTAAATACTAATTCCAGCAATAAAATGAACAAATAAACTTTAATGCTTGAACATTTTTGGCCGTCTTTCAGAGGCCCTCGTCAGGAATGTACAAAACACAAAAAAAAATCATTTTTTGTGTTTTTACATTCCTGACGAGGGCCTCTGAAAGACGGCCAAAAATGTTCAAGCATTAAAGTTTATTTGTTCATTTTATTGCTGGAATTAGTATTTAGGTGTCAAATTGTTTGATTTACATAATTTTATATAATATGCCAAATGCCATGTAACTGATGTAATTTATTAAGCAAATGGAATATGGCTACATATACAGAATCCTATTTTCATTCATTATTAATATAAATAAACTGCAGGTAGAGAGCATGTCCAGTGAGAACCTCACAGGTTGCCAGATAGGTTTTATAAAATGTAAATCAAAATTCCTCAAAATACAACCCAAATTATTTTTAAAGTGACCTAAAATGAAGAAAGTTACCTAAATGAAGTAGCCTAGAGCCCTACAAATATCTCAATCTGCTACTCATAGCTCAATCTTGCAATCTTGAAAACCAGCCATATTTTATGAAATACAAAAATAGTAGTCCAAGAGTCAGGTGACACCAAAAAATGTGTTATTGTAAAAGTAATAACATGTTGACCAGATTAGAGTCATTTCTGGTCTATTGTTCTCTTACAGTACAGAGGTGCTTCAATCTAAACGAATGAGTTAATGTACGCATATCACAGTTTGGATATTATGTTCACTTCGAATTTTAAAGTACCCATATTTCAAACTAATCTAATTCCTTAACATATAAATCTCTATATCCCCAGTCAGGACATATAGTACAGTTTGAACTAACAAGATTTCAAACTATCCATGTTCAAATTAATGAGAACTTCCTGTATATAGTAATTTATGAAATGTTAGTAAAAAAAACTGTTGTTACATTCTTCTCTCTCATTTGAGATACTCCTTTACCTTCATTCTCTATTGGTACAAACCCCTTAAAACACATTCTCTGTAAATGATCTTGGTATAATTTTTTATGTTAAACTCATGTTTAAAGGTCACATTGATAAAATAGTAAAATCTCTAGCCATACATTGTGGAATCCTTTGGTGATTTTGCAAACCCATCTCCTCAAATAATGTACTGCATACTATTTTTTTCACCAACTTCCAAACATTTTTTGATTATGGTTTATTGATTTGGGCCATGGCCACCCTCTCCCTTTTAAGCAAAATTTCTAAAGAATTTAATAAAAAAAAATCTATTTAACATTAAACTCTGCAATCTACCTTGTATTCATTGTCTGAATGTTGCCAGGTCCAGATTGGGTCTTCCCACTTTTCAAGAGAACATTAAATATTTCAAAGAATTACTTTATTATACTTTAATGCAGTGTTTTTCAACCTTCTTAAATAAGTGACTCCTTTACAAGTTAAAAAATTCTGGCAACCCCCCAGGGCATTATTAAAACTATGTCAGTGATTTTAAAAATTATGTATTTAAGTTTCTTTCTGTTGAGACTTAAATATCAATCAAAAAACCAATTGTACTGTAAAATAAACAGGCACAGCTTTCTCACTGAGATTGTAGTTTTTTTTATTGTAGTGTAGGACCTACAAACACTTGTCTTTTTCTTTTACCCGTGACCCCATGTAAGGCTTTGTGACCCCCCTGGGGGTGGTGACCCACAGGTTGAAAAAAACTGCTTTAATGGTTATGTCCAGTTGAATTAGCTTTGCTTAATAACTTAGCAGAACTTGTGCCATTTATCATTGGACATATACTATATGAATATTTTACTCATATTAAATACATTTGTAATGCATTCTTTATATTTCTTAATAATTTAATTTCATTTTTACTTGTTTATATATTTGTTTATTTGGGGAAGGAAATCTTACATCTTACACAACTTTTCGTATTGTATTATTTATTATAGTTTAACTTAGTTTATATTGAATAATTTACTTATACTGTATTAATTTTCTTTGAAATGCAAAAACATGCTTTTTGAAATTCTTTATCAAGTCAGAACTTTATACATGGTATAGGAAGAAAAATAAGCTATTAATATATATATTAAAAAATAAATTATGAGATAACTAAATTATAAATAGAACTTTTGGAATAGATTTCCCTAAAAATGTCAGCTTCAAATATATTAGGTGAAAAAGACATTTGTTCTTTGAAAGTTAACAATATAAATAAGATAATCTTTTTGACTCAAAGTTTTTAACGGAGATTTTTATACGAGTTTCACTGTAAAACATTATTATAACCTCTATAAAATCAAAAGTCAGAAAGTTNTTTCAGTTCAAAAGTTTCTCCAATATAAAATTTATTTTGATAGAAAATTCCTAGGTTTTTACCCATACGCATTATATTATTCAATTAAATCAACCCCGTAGACAACATAATCTAGTTGATCAATCAACGTCAGAATTATTATCGTGCAAAACAACCATTTCTATTCATAGCCATTTAATGATTCAATAAATCAAAAATAAAATTAGTTATATTACATTATAAGGAGTAATGAATACAAATTTCCCATCAAGTAATTTCTGTTCGTACACAAATTTAAAGTATTTTAAAGATGAGATGTTACAGCGTCTCTAAAGTATTTAATAAGATCTTTTACCAGGAATCCTATTTTTATTTTATTTTTAAGAATATTAGCAACTGTAATGCTAAATTAAACAAGAAATTGCCATATCTGATATATATAATTGACAAGACTATGTGTTGTCAATTATCTATATCAAATATTTTAAAATTGAGATTAGAAAGAGTATGTTAATTAATTAATTAACATACTCTTTCTAATCTCAATTTTAAAATGGTAACATACAAATCTCACTTCAAATCAGTATAGTACAGTTACATCTCTGAATGGAACCTTACCAAAACTGTAGACCATAGTAGTCAAAGGAACCATACCTCTACTTGCAACTCTTCATGAGACATCCCCAAAATCAGCCTACTTCCATTTCACATGCAATCGAGAGTTGCATCGCTCTTCTAAGATTATCATGTTTAACTATTTAGCCTAGGCGACTATACCAGCTTCGAGTAGCCCACTCGACCACTCACAGACTACTTGACGTTATATAGTTTTGGGAGAGTGGGGGCATTGAGGCACAAGCAATAGCAAACATCGACACGGGGCACAGAGAATAGGCAATAGTATCGATACATAGTAAAATCTGATTTTTGGAGGTGAATATCTCACGAAGGGTTACATGTACAGGTACAGTTCCTTTGACATTTTTGTTCCTATCAATAAGCTCTACAGCTCTGCCAAGGTCCCAAGTGTCTCGTTCAGAGCTTGAATTGACGCTTTTTATGTACTACTTAATTTTCAACCTTTTACTTCTCCTAGCAACAATAGGAATAAAAGAGAAGGAATCTTATCAGTAATGTATTTTCAATGGTAATCTCTACAGAAGAAACAAAATTAGTTTTTTGACTTGTCTAAATAATGGAGTTTTAAAAAAATATTTTAAAATTACTTTTTCGTCACCGTCGTATATTCTTATATGATTCTGTCGCGTGATTTCTCTTTCGCTTTGGGAAATATCTCCTTCCCAAACAAATCTATTCATTTCTGGTTCGGATCCAATTCACACGATAAAAATCATAAATTACGTACGAACCAAAATAAAAATGTGATAAGCGCCCTCTGGTAAAATTAAATATTTTTTAAGTTGATTTTTAAATTAATCAAATATATGAATTTTAAAAAATGTTTTAAATGTCTGTACTATATTTAACTGTCATATTTATTTAGAAAGCACGTTTTAAAATATCAAGAAAAACTTTTTTTATGAAAGAATGTATTGATTGTTTTGCTATTGTTTGATTCTCATTTGTAATTGCTCTTTCCAAAATGATAAAATATGTACTGTATATTATCGTCATACCATGTATTTCACGGTTAGAATCCGTTTCCCGAATTTTATCCGATACTATACTATACTTACTTACAGGGTGGAAAGGGCGTTTTTTTTTTTTAGCTCTTTCCACCCTGTAAGCGCTAAGATGCCTTTTTTTAGTAAGCTTCTTATGAGTGAGGCTTGGCCCACAATGGAGTGACCGGGTGGTGAGGGACGAAACCCGATAAATTCTGACGCACCATCTCCCGAAAGATTCTAGGATTTTTCGATCCATTCGGATTCGATCCCGAATCTCCCACAATGGTAGACTACCATCCCGCTCAGCCATCCAACCATCCAGTGGCGCATCCCGAAGATCAAAGGACCCTGTCACCCTCCAAAAGAAAAAGAAAAAGAATACTATAAAATTTTCCAAAAATCTTTTCCTAATTAAAATTAATTTTTTTTGTATTTATATTGTGTCGTGTCTTTATTTCTATACTATTTATGATTAGCGGACACATAAGATAAGAATTTTATTAAATTCCGAATAAAAAATTTTTTCCGTTCAACTCGACTCCCCAAGATTAAATCCTAAGTGCGTTACCACTGGACAAAGTTGCCAGATCGGGCTACAAGTAGCGGATTGGGCTACTTTTTAAGTGCCCTCGCTACAAAAATTTCAAATTGGGCGACACGCTACTTTTTGGGCTAGTGATAATTATCTTCAGGCTACAAATCTTAAAAATACGCTACTTTTTTATTTTCATATATAAAATCGTAACACATTTCTTGTATTATACATAATTAATAAAGTTTTATTTAATTATTTATACAATTAAGTGTAATGAAAAGTTGTAACGTTTAACAAAGATAAAGATACTTTGCTTCCATTTTCCATCCGTCGTTCGTTCCAGTAGACAATCCACAATTTCACAAGCAAGGTCGCCTCCGTGTTTGTGAAGTTGTGGATTGTCTACTGGAGCGAACGACGGATGTTAAACGGAAGCAAAGTATCTTTATCTTTGTTAAACGGAAGCAAAGTATCTTTATCTTTGTTAAACGTTGCAACTTTATATTTATTTATACAATTAAGTGTAATGAAATTAAATGTATAACCGTCGGCATGTTTTTATATTTTTTTATTTTACTTAAAGTTTTGTTTGTTCAATATTTCTATTTGCAATGAACGATAGTTTTACTGAAACGTAACATGTTCGATACTCGTTTAATTCTTTAGTACTTTTTAGTACCAAAACAAGTATTAAACGAGTATCGAACTTGTTACGTTTTCGTAACTTTAGATCTGGCAATACTAGATATTTGTTGAGTTCGCACCGTTACTACCAAATTTTAATTGACTTTGATGCATGAATGGCAGCATTATCCTGTTGGAATTGCCAATTTTCTTTCCCAATAAGTGATCCAAAAGTTATTAAATTTTGATACAACAGTTCTTGATACAATGGAAACAGGGGGCTTAAAACTAAAAACAAAAACCGTAGTCGCTAAGTCTCAAGTTTAAAAAATGAATCGCCTCGCCTGCGAATGACTCGCTTTGATTTAGATAAAATTGATGCAGATACACCGAATATATATATATATATATGTTCGGAATATATAATATATATATAACAAATTATTTCATTAGTAAAAGTGCATAGTTGCAAAATAATTCATTTTTATTGTTTGGGCTACAAACAGATCAAATCTGCTACTTTTGGAGCACAACCACGCCAAGGCTCTAGAACCACCATACTCAAACTTTTTTTCTCTCGGGCCACATACACATGATAGCTATTACACGCGGGCCGCAACATAACAATTATAATAAAAAACTTACTTAATTTCTTACTTACCCTAGAAATTTAGTGTGACTGTTGATATTGAGAACATTTTTCACAATTTCATTTAAATCTTTTTTTTTAATACTCTTTCCGCATGTGGGCACTAAGAGGGCCTCTTATAGCAGGCCCATAGCAGGCCCACAATGGTGCGACCGGGTGGTGAGGGACGGGGCCCGACATATCCGAACGGACCACTCCCCGAAAAATTCCTGACCCGACCGGATTCGATTCAGAGCGGTAGGCTACCACCTTGACCGCTCGGCTGTCAATTCATTTAAATCAGGTTTGTAACTGCTGCATGCTACTGGTAAAACTGCATCCAGGTGTGAATCAGCAGCGGCGGCCTTATCCATTGCGAGGCTCTGGGCGGCAGATCTTTGCGAGGCCCTGGGCGGCAGATCTTTGCGAGGCCCTTGTTCTTTGTGCAAAGTATGTGAATTGAAATAGTAGGCACTTATTAATATTAATATATACTGTACTATAAATTAAATTTATTTTATTGTTATAACTAATAGCCAAGGATAAAATAAAAAGTTTTAAATATCAACTTTTTTCTACTTGGTTGTTGCGCGAGGCCCCTCCAAAAGCGAGGCCCCGGGCGATTGCCCTGCTCGCCACCCCCTAAGGCCGCCACTGTGAATCAGTAAGCCAGTTTCTATATATGTTCTTTGCATATTTCATTTTTGAGTATGACGTTTGAGTATGACATAGATACGTTGATGCAAACAACGTAAGTAAAATTTGAGCACATTTTTTAGTCTTATATTGATCGGGCACTACTTTCCAGAAGTGGTAATTCCAGAAGTCAGCGTAATTATTTTCCGCTCTCTTTCACGTCCGGGCCGCACACAAAAGCTCAGCGGGCCGCAGGTTGAGTATGGTGGTTCTAGAATATAAGGTTACCTCATATAGCCGGTTTAGCCACTTCCTGCCGGATTCCGGATATACGTCATCCGTAGTCGAGCCTGGTCGAGCGACCGCTTCACAACAGTTAGCGAGGGAATAAAATTTTAAAATTTCACTATTTTTGTTACTTTGTTGAGAATTTTTAGACTCTTAATCTTCGAAGGTAAATATATCTATCGTCATTACTATTATTAAGCATAATTATGTTGATAATTATATCGATAAAAATTGTACGGAAGTAAAAGTGTTCCTAGAACCATTTGATATTCTGTTGTAGTCTTTACACTTGGTTGTGTAGAAATTACAGAATATGATTACGGATAAAATATATTTTTTACTAAAATATTTTAAAATACTAAGAATAGTTTTTTGCGTGTATAAAAATAGTATCTGCACGATGAAATGACGACTACAAATAATAAGTTGGCCCATAACAGGGTGGTAACACTTTTAAGATAACTTGAGATGTAAAAAAGAAATATTGTTTATTATTAATTAATATAACTTTTTTAAAATATGCATATATACGTAAAATGCATAGAAATGCAAAATAAAAAAATGTTTTATATATACAGTAATATAAATTTATTGTAGTGTTATTTATTTGTATAATAATTTTTATGTAAGAAATGTTAATACTACTTTTTTCTACTTCGGAATATTATATCTTGATTACATATATTTGGAAAAATTAAAAAAATAGCTAAATTTTATTGTAATCATTACAGTATTTTCATTTTTAGATGCCTGAAGCATCATGTGTTGTTGCAACTTGTAATAACAGCTATCATAACAAAGTTATTAAACAGGAAAGTTGGTTATTTTAGATTTCCTAAAGATCCAATAAAAAGAAGAAAATGGATTCATAATTATAAAAGAAAAGACAAATTCAATCTCGATTCTTGTCATGTTCTCTCTGACCATTTCACAGAAAATGATTTTGAAAGAAATTTAAAAGCTGAGTTATTAGGCTTATTGGCAAAACCTAAACTAAAGAAAACTTTACTACCGACAGTAAATTTAGGAAATATAGAAAATGAAAATATTAATCAGTCAAATCAAAGAAAGAATCGTTTACTAAAAAGAAATAGAAAAAAAACTGACAGGAAAATTTTTAAATGTAAATAAACGGGATAAACCAAAAGAATCTTAAATGATTGTAAAACTTTAGATCTTAATTTAAAACTGTAATAACAATAGAAAATTTTAAAAAGTTTGTACCTGATTTCTTTTAATTCTGTTTCTATGTAATACTTAATATGTATATACAGTATTGATATTAAAAATATGTTTATAACATAAAAAAATTGTTCGTTTGACAAAGTTATTTTTGTATATGTATGAGTAAATAATATTGTTTTTGGTACATGAATATTAAAAATTAAATAAATAGGCCAATATAATTTTTAGTTTAAAAAAAAAAAAGTCGTTTGACGATATAAATTAATTCATTTATATATAAATTACCTACGTAGGATTTACTAAAATTAATCTTTTAAGAAACTATTGTTGTTATAATATCATAAAATAGATAAAATAGATTTCATTTACAAAGTAGAAAAACGCATTTTAATTTCAACTTTACACGTAAAAATTACGAAGATTTGCTCAATGTTCCGGATTTTTCTTATTTATAATCCATTTTTATTTATATTTAATTAAGTAAGAATCGTAATTAATAAAATATTAGCGTGTAATTAAAGCTACGAGCTTCTGATCGGTAATGTTTTTACCATAAGGACATAGTAAGATGTTTCGTTTTCGACTATGAGTGACGTCAAATAAGCAACCAATGAAAAGAGTTTCTTCTCTATGAGGCAACCTTATAATCTAGGACCTTGCAACCACGCTACTTTTTAACCTTCAGATCTGCAACTCTGTCACCGGATCCCCGAGCCGCCTCTAAATGGAGTCTCTGTTAAAAACTTCTGTAGCTTCTAAAAAGAGTAATTAAGAATGGAAATATATTTTTACTAACAATTACGTATTTGTACAATTTAATTTATAAATCAATTCACCTCTTTACATTTTAAGCGTTGTGTAAATTAATTGAACAATGTTGTCAAATAAAATATCTTTTTAACAATGAAGAGACAATGTAAATATAAAAATTCTATCTTTATTTTATTTTACTTTTGTTTATTATACAGTCAATTACTTTCATAACCGAAACAATGAAAAATAAATTTATTGATAGAGTTTATAATTAATCAGTAATCTTTACATTGAATACAGTTAGTTTGTCATAAATAGGGATGTCGTCATCATTTACTAGAGTCAGTCCATAATCGGTGCGTCTTTATAAATTGGTCGCAATTGGTATGTCTTATATCGGGGATGTCGTCATCTCTTATTCGAGTTTGTCCACAATCAGTGCGTCTTTATTCGTTAGTCGCAATTGATATGTCCATAATCCTTGTATCATAATACGTTAGTCAATTCATAAGTGGCACGTTTTGATCCAGGATATGTGTCAAATTTGTGAAAAATACATTTGATATGTCCGGGTATTATAATGTCAGTCCAGTAGATATAAGTCACAATCGGTGTTAGAGATGTCATAAGTTGGATTTTTTAAATGATGATTGCCGAAATGCAGAATTTTATAAATTTTGAAATAATCACGAAAAGAATCATACGTATTAATAAATAAAAAAACAAATGAAAATGATAAACCACAAACACAAACAGAAAACGATGACAATGAATATGTACAGATGAAAATGATGATGATGATATTTACAGATGAACTATGTACATTATATACAGCAGAACTGGTCTGCAAATATGAACTTCTCCACAGTGACGAAGTTCTGTCATGGAATTGCAACAATTAATTAAAATCAGAATAATTGGTAAAGATATATTATAATAAATAAGTTATAGATACATACCAAAAGAAGAATCTGAAAAGTTTCTTCAATTTAGAGAATTTTTCTCTTTGTTGCATGTTCCTTTTTTGATTGACTGGCATGCACATCGGATGTCATATCCTCGGCTACCCTGTTGTATCAAAATGAAAAATTCAAATTAATCGAAAACTATTAAAATATTAATTTCAATAATAAATAATAATCTTTGTTTTTCTGTAATATATTATTAAAAGTATTTCATTTCTATAATATAGAAAGAACGCAGAAAATCATATAAAAATACGTATTAAATAAACATAAAATTCTTACCTGTCGAGACAATGGCTAACAGCTTCCAGCTCGACTTTCTGATGATGATTCTCACATTCGTTTTTATCGACTTGTCGCCAATGAGAATTAGAGTAGCCGAAACAATCCTCGGAAAGATCGAGAACAATATCCGAATAGTTTGTTTCTTGGTAACTTTCCAAGTCACAATCAAAGAAATCATCCCGATCATCATTATCGGGATCAAATTGCTCCTCGCACGACTCTAGCTTTATATAAACAATACAGAAAATGAGATTAAAATATTACATGTTACCTATTAGATACGTATTAAATAAATATAAGAATCTTACCTGTCCAGACAATCGCCAACAGCTTCCAGCTCAACTTTCCCATCACACGATACCCGAAGATTCTCGCATTCGTCGCAACGAAAGCAAACATCAACTTGTTGCGAATTAGAATCGCCATAGCCGAAACAATCCTCGGCAAGATCGAGAACAATTTCCCAATAATCTGTTTCTTGGTAATTTTCCAAGTCAAAACTGAAGAAATCGTCCTCGTCATTCAGATTTCTATCCACATCCGCACTTATCTGTGCATCTTCCACAAATCTCTCCATATCGAAATCTGAAAAAACAACTCGTTAATTATTTGTGTCTTATGGTCATTCGCCATCTCTCATCGTCTATGATCGGTTCCACCGAGGGTAGCTTCGCTGATGATGGGTCTACATAAACACGTGCTATCACGCAATATAAAATCAAATTAATCAAGCGTATATTTTTCGTAAAGATTTATGTTTATTATTATTAATCAACCTCGTCCATGTTTACATCGTGATAAAATATACAATATTCTATTCAAAATCAGTTTAAGATATCGAAATTTATCTCGAAATTAATTTCTTATTCTAGTTCTTTGCTCTTAATTAATTAAATTTAAGTATCTTATGATTGCCTAATGACAAATTTTGAAATCGGTAATTCTATTTTTATAAAGATATTTGTACAATGTATTGTGTAGGCTGTCAAAATATTACTCACCTTTATATCCAACGCAAATAAACTCGAGAAATAACTCCGAAAAGCTCCAAAATGTCTTTCGCATTCGAAAATCGCCCACTTTCGCAACAAAAACAGTGGAAAGTATTTTAGTCCACTTTCTTGCGTTTCCGCGTGACGTCGAAGCCAATGTAGTACAAATATTCGAGACTTTGAATATCCGATTCATATTTATTTCTCTTTTAGCGATCCTTATTACGAATGAGTACTGTACATTAATTGCTGTGCTTTTAAAAACTTTTTTAAATCTTCAGAATCGTTCTAAAATTTTAAAAATCGTTCTGAACTTTTCTAAAAATATTCAAAACAATTCTGAAGATGTTGAATCGTTTTGAATATTTTTAATTTAAGAAATTTTTAATTAAAGAAATTTTAAAGCTTTATCTGCACACGAATGCTTTTAAATTTCTTTATATATTAAATTAAGTGTATACGAGAAACAAAGATATTTATTAATTAGCACGACTAGAATGAAGTTTCTAATTCGTTTTAAACAAACAAATAAATCCATCTGAAGAGAAGTGTTTAGTCACTCGATAGATCTCATTATCTTCCGTATTTTTCAGAACGTATAGTCCTTGTCACGTGTAAGCTTTTATCTGTAAAATTTTGGACACTTTAATTTAACAAAAGTTCAATTTTATTAATAGATTGGTAGTTAAAAAAGGGGGGT